TGACAAAGGCGTATGAACTGAGAAATCAGTCACCGGCTCCAAATGGGCGCGATTCCCTGCATTTGCTCCGCTGCCTTGCGGGCAGGCTATTCAACCAAAGGCTCGGGGTAGTGTCCCCTAAGTCAACACCCTACTTCGGCTAGGTCAACCGGGTAGTATCTCGCCATTTGACGAAACCATGGAATTTAGTGTGTTGTGTTTTCTTTTACTATTTCTGTACCTTCCTCTGAATTCCATGATTTCCGATGGCTCAATGTTTATTCATAGACTGTTGCCAAATATTTGTGTCCGTTTCCTGGGCTGACCGACCTCAGGACTCAGCGACATATATTCTTCACCTCCATCGGTATCCTTCCCAGCGCCTGCTCTCTTTGGACCCTTCTCTCCCCACTCAAACGATGCTTTTCTTCTAATCGCCTTAGGATTTCCGTCTCTCCGACCCACCAATATCACTAACTGCCGCTACCCGATTGCTGAGCTTTGATATCCTCCGAGTCTGAGGTTCAACTCCTCCCCAGGCAGTGTGAAATCGAGGCGCAATTTGCGGCCAAGGTATTTGAAACTGGGGCAGCACAACATGTCAGCTAACCGATGCGCGTTACACCGCATTCCGTTCCATCATACCTGGACTTACTACTAACGAGTTGCGAGCAACGTGTATGTGAAATTCAGGTCCTGGAGCCTCTGGCAGCTAGCGACCACCCGGTGGTGTTAGCCAGCCTAGAGCTGCAGTTGCCCTACTCGCATCCGCCGGACTTGCCCTAAAATTATTGGAAGACCGACTTAGATGATCTTAATGAGCCGACAGTTAAGTAGACCGGTCGTTGCCGCATGATTCATTGGTTGAAGCCTGTTGGTCTGTTATAAAAGAGGGTGCGCAACCGTTTCGTATCCTCCAAGTATCGGAAAGCTGGATCAGTGAAGCCACATTGGTTCGACAGAGAGTATGGTCAATTGGCTGGATGGGGACACGTATTGCGGAATAAACTCCTCGTGTCTGGCTCTGAAGAAGATTATGAGGTGTACAAAACGCAGCGGAATTTACGCAACAGCGCGAAAGCGTCGGCAGTTCGAGGAGGAGCTTGCAATCTCAGCGACACGGCGCCCCAGAAGATATTTTTCACTTGAAGCGGCAACTGAAGCCCGCAAGTGACGTAGCTGTGTTACAGGGTACCGACGGACAGCCTCTGACTTCCAGCAGGGAACGCGCGTCTGCATTGCGGAGCACTTGGCTTCCGTATTTACAAATGGGTATACCCCTATGCCAGGCTGACGTGTACAGCCCCAACCAAATTTGAGGGGCTGCATTGTGCTGTCCCCAGTCTACTCGTCAGCACGAAAGGTGCCGGACCCGATGAACTTCACTCGCTAATTTTAAAGTCCTAATTGGCCATCAACTCGACTGTCGTGACGGATCTGTTCAACAGATTGCTCTCTGAGGTTACAATGCCGAGCAACTGGAAATGTTTGGTAGTGAAGCCAATTCCAAAAGGCGGTGTGGCACACACAAGGTAGACAATCACTGGCCTATTCGTCTCACCTCTGATATGGTGAAGGTGCTCGAGAAAATTGAGAAAATGGACTACATCAGCTGCTGGAGTCGAAAGATCTCCCAACTCCGACACAGCACGGCTTCATGAAGCGCCGCTCGTGCATCACCAAAGTGCTGTTGACGCAGCAGCAATGGTTGCAAGCGTAGAAAAGGGGAAAGTCAATGGATGTTATCTAGATTGATTTCAGTAAAGCCTTCGAGAAAGTTAACAAGGAGGTCCCGCTCCGCAAGCTGAGGATGTGATGTTTGTGGGCATTGCACCAGTGGACCAGTGACTTCGTTATTATGTTCAAGTGGATGACCGCCTAACGTAATGATACCCCATCCAATAGCGGCGTATCCAAAGGCACAGTAAGAGGGCTCATTTCTTTCCTGAGCCACATCAACAAAGTACCTCGGCTTCTTCGGTCGCTCTGCTCATTGTTTGGAGACGACCTTAGGATTTGGAGGATTACTGATTCTCCTGGCGACTGTGACCTCCTTCAGCAGGACCACAACCGCCTATCTCGGAGGCTTGCAAAAATTGACCTACCGGTCAACCCGTCCAAGTCCTCGTTTATGAAGCTGGAGAGGGGTAGTAGTGGCGTGCGTACACTTTGGCCGGCCACGCGCTGCATCCCACCAGTTCCGTAAGGGACCTAGACGTACTCTCACGCTGTGATCTGAAGTCTGTCGACAACACGAACAGACTGTATGCAAACGGACTACGCCTGTTTTGGGCACTTAGACTCAACTTCTGCACTTGGTCTGAAGAGATTGCCACCGTCTGTTCTCTTCCAAGATAAGACCGGTGCTAAAGTACGGCTGAGCTACCTATTGCCCGATCATAATAGGTGAAGTGCAGAGATTGAAACAGGCCCGGCGTGTACTTACCCGGCTCATAAAAGTTTACAGGGTATGTCGTACGAGGACCGATGTAGGAGACTATGGCTTTACACCCTGTCATATTGTCTACATCGAGTTGACCACATTTATGACGCATCGGATACTGCACCTAGGCCATTTCCCTAACTTGAGGTCACTGCTGCACGTTTGCGCACTAAGCAGTGCACGCGGACACCTGTACAAGCCAGTGACACCGGGTATAAAGCGTATCGTTCATCCACAATGCGTCGAGTGATGAAATATGGGAACAAATTGCCAGAGACGCAAATGGAGACAAAGTGGGAATTTAGGAGAATCCTTAACGTCTACTTTGCGGACTAGAGGTACAGGGAGCGTAACGCACCAGGATAAGTTCCAGCGCAGCTGTTATATACTGCCACTGCGCAGGAATCTGCGACCTGATTGGGCGCATGTCCCCGATCCACCTACGATGGAGCAACACAGAATTTTACTACTCGCTCTACATTTCCAGTATTCAGTAGAGCACTGCCAAATCAGAAGACCCAGTCTCGTCATACACAGTCTACAAAAGAAGGAAAAACTTTGTTGAAGGACGGGGTGCACAGTCCTCTCGAACACGCTAGGCTGAAATGAGTATTCATGAGTAGTGGGGGGTTAGCAAGATTAGAGATAGTTCGTCACGGTTGACTCTCAGTCAGCAGGATTTTGCTATTTTAGAAAAGCAACAGACACAGATGTTTCGAACTTCTGGGTCACGACAGTGGTGCACCTTCCAGCATACCCTTGTCGCGTTCCATCCCAATGACTTTCGGATGCCAGAATTTGTGGCACTTCGCCACGGCCGACAGCCGCGGACTGCGTGAGTGACAGTTGTCTATGATATAGCCCGGCTCATCCTCCATTGCCACGCGAGCTACGAACTGTGCAGAGCACATCAGCCAGCCTCACGAGCTAGGTAAAACGCAAGGAGTTAGAAACTATAGGGACAGATTTTATAGTACTAATGGGTTGTAGTGCGCAGATGCTCGAATCCCGAAGTCTTGGGGGCGGAACCCGGCAGCGGTATGCTGGAACGCACACCACTGACAAGACCCAGTATGTCGAAACACCAGTGTCTGGTACATTTTCAGAATAGAAAAGCCTGCTGTCTTAGTTGACCGTGTTGAACTACCTCTAAGCATAACAAATCCCCATTACTCCTTAGTAATATAACATCTCTGTATAGCTTCTGAGACTGCATTGTACCAAGGCGCTAGTGCAGAGTACTAGCTCGTGGGGCTACCTGCTGCCCTCTGCACAGTTTGTAACTGGAATGGGAGTGAAAGGTGAGCCGCGCCATATCACGCACGCAGATCCGCGGCTGTCACCCATGGCGAAGTGCCACTAGCTGCTGGCATCCGGAAGTCATGGGGGCGAAACCCGGCAGGGGTCTGCTGGAAGGCGCATCACTGACGAGACACAGAATGTCGAAACACCGGAGTCTAGTGCTTCTCCAGATTAGTAAAGACTGTTGACTGAGAGACCACCGTGATGAACTATCTCTAATCGAATAATTAGTATATGCATCCAGTGGGGAGCGTATTACAGGAGATTCACCGCCTTGCGCACGTCTGGTAGGCATGATTCCCTAATTGGACTGTCTGGAATGTTGTTGCTGTGCATGTTGAATGAGTGTAGATCGGCGCCGTTGATGAAATGTGGCTCCAATCCACATCCCACTCGGTCTTATTCCCTCGGGTTTACACTAGATTTGGGGTGTGTGAATGGAACTGTGGGTTGTGTAACGCAAGCCATCCATGATCGATCTGTAGGCGCAGGCATCTAGTGGCTGTCCTATCAGCGACCTGACTCATTCGCAAACATTTTCACTAAACTTGCGTGTTCACCCCGACCATTCTACGGGTTTTGTCGGGCTTAAGCCTTTGATATGTTACACATTAGCGCGCCATAGCCATTAGGCCTTCATTGATCAACACATCGGCCCAGACAACTAAAATGGGTTTACTGGTACACAAAAGTTAAAATTAGATACAAAAGTACGCACGTAATTAAACTACTAACAAAGATTGCGGTGGAAGTGAAATACAGGTGTTTCGAAGCGTGCTGTGAAGTCAATTACTCTCTGTCTATCTGCAAAGAGTCAAATGGACGTAAACGTCGCATTGCCGCACGTGTCCATTCACATTGGGAGACCATAGTACTGACCAACAGCGTTCCAATCACGCCGCATATATTGAAGGCCACCGCCACAGTATGGAGGGGGGGACTTGTACTTTTCGCTACTGCTTTAATACTACTTGTGCAACCGTGTTATCATTTGAAGCTGAGTGTCCAACCTCTACAATAGAGGAGCAAACAACAATGAGGTAAAGGTTTGTCACAAAGTTGCAACAATTATTAATCTAACAATAAGTATAGTGTGCTCTCGGTTGCCGGGCGCGTTTGGCTTTTGCTCCTAAAGCCAATGCAGTGGTGGACTTGAAAAATTGAACAACCCGCAGAAGTACGTGATTCTGGGAAGTGAGAAGATCAAACCGAAGCCACGTGACACAAGCGCAGGCAATAAAATTAATGCAACTAGTGCCATCATTTAAACACTCACTTGAATGAACAGATTTGAAATGTTTTCGCAAATCACCCTTCTGTGAAAACGATTTACCACACTGTTCGCATGTATAGGGGCGCTGTGCTAAATTGTGAAACAGAAAGGGAATAGTCACAGATGAACATCAAGAGGGCGACACAGCTACAGAAGAAATGATTGGCTAGAATAAGAACACACGTAATAGTGTAGGCATAGTATAGAACTTGCCACGAAAACTAAAAGTTGGTGGCGTGTGACCATTTTGGAACTGGAAAGATATCATATACCTATACACGTTTGCTGAGACGGAACAACACACCTCCGCTAATGCGCCGCAATTCAAAACTGGAAACGGATGGGTCATAGGTGAAGTGCGTGTCGCCTACAATCAAGAAGTGCTTCATTCTAGCAGTATGTACCGAGCAATGTGCTTTATTCGAAAACTAATAATCTTTGAGGATCACAATGATGAAAGACACTGCGATGGACCACATTGCTAGTCAGTGAAAGATGTAACTCGCGTCTGGTCAGTGACGTTGTTCACACCACCAGCGATTGACCACGCCAAATACATCTCTCTCCGTGATGAGATAATACTTCCACATCATACAGTACACACAGCGCGTCTTCCAATTTGTCATCCCCACCCCACTTCGAGTGCTTTCAGTGCCGCCATAAGCATCAGAATCACTTGATTCCCACGAACACTGTGCTTCGTGTAAATTAAAATTATGACGAAATTCCGTGTGGACTTTCAACGCAACTCTGTGTGTGTGTCCTCGATCTCAACTATGATTCCATATCTCAAGTGTCAACCTCTTCCTATGATCACTGTCATCAAGCCGGCAAGCACGCTAATAAATAGATTCACCACCGTACCTGTTTCCCTGATCATCTATTAACAATGAGGAACATCTGGCATCGTAGCTACCCCTTCGAGCTGTATGGACACTTACGAGAGTACTGCTTATGATCTTGACATTGCAAGTTATATAGTCGGTGAAACTACACCGTCTGAACATCTACGTGAGTGTGGATCATGGTTGTCACATCGGACGCCGCAAACCACCGTAGCCTTGGAGGCCCAGACTGTTGGAACATAAAAAATGGGTGGAGATGGTGCGTGCAACCTACTCCTCCGCCCACTGTTCAATATGTTATACAAAACGCAGTGGACTGAGGCGCCATTACCGTGTATACGTGTCACCAGAAGCAACAGTTGTTGCCTTTCTGAACGAACGGAGAGCAGCTATTTTCGAATTGCGCTAAACGCCCACATTGTTAAGGTTCGCACCGAAGTAGTGCCGTGTGCTCAATACCATTCAACTAACCCTACTACTCATCTAAACAAAATTACTAAGCACAGTTGGATCAGGAGACCATGTGTGGTGGATGAGTCCAAATGCCACGAACCCACCTATGAATCACTAACGACAAGATAAAGCTTCTAGTTGTATACTCGGGAGTCACGTGGAAACTCACGAACGAAGCTGCCACTGACCCATCCCTACACCGGAGTGGAATTACGACTAGGTGCCTGAATGACAAACCTTAAGAATATGGACAATACCTTGCATATAAAGCAGTGGATGTGCCTTCTGGCTTCAAACTGAATAGTACTATTCGAAGGCTAGACCGATACGACACCGATTCCAGTAGTGACGGCACAGCGACTAGAAGTCGCGGATCGGTTTACGTCCCCTGGCAGCTGCGTCACCGGAGTGCACATCACTCGACATTTTATTTCGCATTTCATCGAAGCTCTGTGGCTTTACAGATACTCCACCATCTAAAGAGAGAGTGGGATATCAGAATGTCACGGAAAGGTAAGGTGTATGACTTTGCGATAAGGCAGGTGTTATTGCGTAGAGCAGAGACCTGGTAATGTCACATCGAAAACATGCAACGGCTAACCTCGTCTGAGCTCCGGTGCACGCGGAGTATAGCACACATCTGGTGGGAACCCCCGGTAAGTATCGCTGTTCGTCAGTTGGTTTCTGTCAAGATTTCCTCTAGTGTCTCGCTGGAGTATCTGCTGTAACGTGTTACGTGTCCTCCGTACGCCCAGTGAACATCTACCTCGGTGGGCAAAATGCGCTGGCGCCGCACTCTGTTGGCAGCGAATTCGAGGTGTCCAATTGGTTAGGGGATGAAGGAGTTGAGCAGGAGACCTAGCAAGACCCCTGCGTGCTGTCCTCGTGGATGGGCCATCTCGATGATCCACATAAGTGGTTTGGGACTTGATCGGACATGGCGCGGTCGCTTAATCAGTGATCCTCCTACATTAGGCTACCTGCATCTAAATGGTAACAATCCAACCAGATAAGCTATATGGTTGTCTTATACTAACACATCCTAGTACCAAAAGTTCATTACATCTCGAAAACACTGCACAAAACGACGCATCTCGACCTCATTCGGTATCATCAGTTGGAGATAGCGCAACTCGAAACCGGGAACGTTAGAATGTCGGCGGTGACATTTGCCTCTTTAACGACAGGGTCACGTAGAGTAACGCTTCGCAGAACCAGAGAGATGTCACCAATCATATAACCAAGTGCAGAGTCAAATGAATAGATTCGCTCGCTATGTATCACGATATCGAACTGTAGAACTGAACAATCTGTAAAGAAAAATGTTCCTGGGCAGTAAGATCACTTTCAGCTAATTCATCATGGTCACTCTCAACATTCAGGCTTAGGCTGGTCTGGAAAAGCACCATAAACCGATGTTTCAACATTGTGGGTCCCGTCAGTGGTGTGCCTTCCTGTAGATCGCTGTCGGGCTCCGCCCCCATGACTTCTGAATGCCAGCAGCTAGTGGCACTTCGCCATGGCTGATAGCAGCGGACCTGCATGACTGACAGTTGACTATGATATAGCGCGGCTCATCCTTCACTGCCTGGCCAGTTACGAACTGTGAAGAAAACAGTGGCTAGCTTGACCAGCTAGGACTTTCCGCACAGCGTCTCGGCACGGCACAAGGACTTGAAAGCTATAAAGAAAGATGTTTTACATTAATGTCAGCAGGGTTGATTCCACTGAAAGCACGCGATATCAACGAAGATGGTATGACGCAAAGGATACAAAGAAAGCCAAATGCGCATTACCAAATTCAGACTCACTCGAATGAGCAGATATGAGGTGTGTTTGCAAACTACTTTTCGAAGAAAACGATCCGCCACAGTGTTCACAAGTGGACAGTTGTTGCTCTGCAGAAGGAAACAAAAGCTATCAGTTACAGGTAAATCTCACTGGGAAACTGGCAAAAAATAGCGAGTGGTTTAGTAGAATGTGTGCACCAAAGTTATCGTGTAACAGTGAGTTAATGATGGCCCCCAAATTCGAGGATTCGCCGTGTGAAACAATAGCGTAGTGCTCGAGGATTACGTAACATGGAAGAGAAGAACGAGATAAAGAGTGCAAATAGGTCATTGGCGATTGTGACGACACATTAACGGTAGGTACCAAACAAGGTATCAAATATTCTTGCTCGGATATATCATGAAAAGAGCGAAAAGTAAAGAGATCCAATGGAACGACATCTACACTCATAAGACAACGCAATCAGCACAGTTGGAATCAGAAGTGAAACAAGCGCTGATGGTCTTTTAGAAGGTGCCGATTATTTTCGTAATAGTACGTACCGCATAAATCCGAGAAACAATCTTGTAACAAGCGATAAAATATCATACTACACGGTGGCCCAAAGAAACTTTAAGAAGTGAGCTACACAACTCGTTCCTAAGGAAAGATTGACTACCAGACCTTAACGGATGCTTGTTGAACTCCGCCTAAAATTACACGACAGTTCCGTCGGGGTCATCCTGGTATCGGAGGGACGAAAATGATTGCGCGAATTTTCGTTGATTCACTAAACATCGACGCAGGGCACTACCAGTTGGTGTAGATATGTGCAAGCTGTGTGTTAAATGCGTGATTGTTAATAAGTCACCCCAGAAAACAGAATCATCTCCTTAGCCATCAGTGACAAAAACCTGGGAACGCATACACGCCGATTTCGTTGGTCCTGTGAACGAACAGCTGTTCTTGACTGTTGTGGAGTTTTTCAACAAATGTTCGGCAAAAAGGATGCAAACATCAAAGTACTGAGAGGCCTTTTCAGCCAGCATGGAGTATCGGGGAGTTTGGTCACAGACAATGGTTCGCAATTAGTCACCTTCTAGCTTGGTGAATACTGCGCGCAGTTTGGTATTGCACATTTGCGCCGTTTCACCCGCAATCCAGTAGACAAGCGAAATGTTTTGCCGATAGGATCAAACGTATGTTACTGAAAATGATGAGGAGAAGGGACTACAAATCGGTCCCGGACCTTCAGGTGCCAAACGTGTCACCCGCAGAGGCTCTCATAGGAAGGAAAAGCTGAACTGTTAACTCGTTGCTGCTGTTGAGGAGTACTGTTTCGCAAGAAAACAGATGTGGATTTAAAATACAAGGAAATAGAATCCAAGAACCTCGGGTCTTAGTCAGAGATAATGGAACGGGGAAACCACTACGGACAACAGACTCGATTCAGAGCAGAATAAGTGATCTACCAAATCAAAAGTGATTTAATTTCGACCAGACACGCGAATCAGTTGAGATCTATTAGTATCCGTAAGGGTACAAATAACTGATCCATACCAAATGAGCTCCTCTTAAGCCACTTCGACATATACGATATAACTTCCAGCTTGTCTGACGAGGAGCGCGCTGCAGTCACAGGACAAAGAGATTTGAAACCAAGACGGTGCATTGACCGGAAAAGACAATGACAGCATACCCTGGGCATTCACTCGGCAATGACCATACGTCATTGGGGCGTTGCAATGCAAAGCTATCAACTAGCAAAGGTGAGTTTGAGTGGGAAAGTGGTGACCACATAACTAAACTGAAAGTGAGTGTTTGGGAAAAAACAAAAACTCTTCGTAGCCGCAGTTCAGATGACCACAGAGGGGGATTAGTGGGGCTCCATGTATTACGGATGCCAGAAACACAATAAAGCGTAGCTGCCATCACCCGACGCCTACAATCAGCAGTAAGGTGACATTGCTGAGTCTGATATGCATCAGACAATAAATAAACAGTTGATCGCGGGCAAAAATAGGGATGCAGCAACGATCCCAGGAAATGGTGCAGATGTGAATGTAAAAGCAGAATGGAACCCACCAACAAAAAATGCCTCATTAGGATTTTGCTATAAAGTTCATCCAGTGACTGACAGAAAGGTATCTATCCGTTTTTTGAGTCAAAATGTAACCAGAGCCCACAGTTTGGTTGTTATTAGTTACCGCTAAACACAATGTACGGGGCGTAACGAACATATGTGAGTGTCGATTATTCAGTATTGCAGTTGTCGGAGCCACGATTACTGACTCCAGAAAGGTAACTCGGGGAGAAGCCCTGGAAATGATCAACAGTAAAACCTCCGTAAGTTGACCACTGAAGGGACTGGACCAAAGTGGTCAACACAGAGAAGTGATCAACATACGGAGGTTGTCTACCAAAACTTGGAGTGACCTGCTTTACCGTTGCGAGTAGTATAGTGTGAAATTTATCTGAAGATAGACCCGTTTCGAACACATTAGACGAGGTCTCACGTAACACCAAACGCAGTTCAACCATAGAGTGTTATAATAAATCAAAAACGCAGTGCGTATTACGCAAGTTAAATCAACTTTTGAAGAAAACGTTTTTCTAGTATGACAAGGAACTAAAAAAGCGCTCTCAGCATAAGCCACACTACTCTGCATGCTTTGACATTTTACCCACAGCAAAGGATATCATTTGTATTAAAAGATGTCTAACTTCAGCTTATTTTGGAGTTTCTGTGATTTCCTAATAATCGTCACTCAGGCCTTCTTCATCAGCATCATCAGGTGCTTCATCTTTGTGTCTGTAGGGGAGTACCACAATCAGTAATTTGGAAAATAGCATCTGGGTCTGGTCCAGTGTTAAGTACCAAATCATGATCCATTTTAACAAACTCTTTAAAATATATTCTGTCGAATTCTAGCAATGGAGATGGAATGTCTACTAAGGCGACGGCATCTCGCTCCAGAGATTGAACAAATCCGGCTTTTCCGTATTATTTCTGGCTGAGCTTTGAAAGGAGCACAACTTATCCCAAGCAGTAACTGAAGCAACACATGCAATTCCTTCCGCAGGAAAATTAGTAGTATACAACTTTGCCATAGCCCACCGCATAAACTGGGCTCGATAGTGTATACTGAATATTTGGTTGATCCCTTGGTCCAGAGGTTGAATTTGTGAGGTCATGTTTGGAGGCAGAAACACAAGCGTAATTTTTGTGAAATTTTTTTGCATAGGTGTGACTAGGACAGTTGTCGACTGATAGGATAATGAAGCGTTTCTTCATCATTATTTTCTTGTCGATACTAGTGAGCCACGCAGATCGGTTTGATCTCCAGGTGATTGGTAGATTTTCAGGATTCATATTTTTGAACGCACATGATCAAACTGATTCACCGATGACCAGGGCCTTTAGTTTCCACTCAGTTAAGCTGGCGCAAAAGAGAACTGTGAAACGTTCTTAGGAATGCTTTCCACTCTTACATTTGTCACCCTATTTAACAAGACTTCTGTTAGGCATCGTTTTGATAAAGAGACCGCACTCGTCCGCGTTGAAGATGTCATCATCGTTGAAGCGCTTGCTGAAGTTGGAATATTTTGCGATGACGTTTTGAACAAACTCTTCAGGCACTTGGTTAGATTCACCACACAAAACTCATTGGGAAATTTCATATCGGATTTTAAATTTCCTAGCCAACTATTGCATGCCTGGAAATTTGTAACCCAAAATAATTATGAGAACCTCCTAGCAATTTCATGAATCACCGACCCAGAAATTTGAGTGTTAGCTGCCCTCATCTATTTGAACCAGCGAAACGTAACCTCAATGACTTCATCGTGTCGTATCTCTCCAAGTACTCATGTTTATCTCTTTGGATTTTGCTAACCGTTGTCCTGCTACTTCCAATATGCTTTGCCGTCTTTCTTTGGCCACTGCTTTCAAGAAAATGTACCCGACTAATCCTTACATTTAAAGTCAACTGAGCACTTTTCTTTGGACCATAATGTTGTATTACACGTAATGACCGATGTTAAATTGTTCAAAGCACGGAGTGGATCTAAGGTCTACGGTTCTAGTCAGGTAATATTTATTACATACAATAAGCAACCTCAATTGGTTTCACGCTCATGCCGACACTAAATACAGTCAATCTCGTCGCAATCCAAGATGCTACTGAACTGGTGCTTAGACCTGGCGCATAATCGAGGTTTTCGCAGTCACTCAAACACCTGATTGCGGCCAGTGCGATGTATGGACACACGTTCGTAGGAGTAGACGAAGGCTTGACAGGTCAGGGATGTGGAACACAAATCGTTCTAGATCATTCGTTGGACACCGATTTGTGGGGGCACACACTGATCTAGGCAATAAGCGGGCGCGTAAACACTGACGATCGGGACAATTATGCACACACACACACACACACACACACACACACACACACACACACACACAGAGAGAGAGAGAGTGAGAGAGAATATACTGCATACTCAAATGTAAAGTTCACTGATTTGGGGGTCAGAAGTCCACACATTGCAGTCCCGCTGCACATCGTGTTATCGGAACAAACGAGCCATTCGGGAACCATTGGATCGTAAGCCCTCAAATAGTCAAATTATGGAGGCTGAATTATTACTGACTGTCATAGCCTAAGTGGTTCAACATACAACTTGCAGAGGTGGTCAACGTACACAGGTCTGGTTCCATAGGGTTTACATAGTGACCCTACACGCTATGACAGTGTTCAACTTTGGAAGTTTCGCAGCACCCACAATATTCATCATCGCCCGGTCCGAACAATGGACGGAACACCAAAGACAAAACTACCAACCCAACTCCAGCTACACATTCCTAGGTGTTAGACCTTGCCAGATGATCCCTGCGCTCAGGCAATGCATTTCAAGATGGAGCCACTCTGCATCTAACTAGACGGCGAAGAGCTAAGCCGGTCACATTGATTGCTTATCAGTATTATGCAAACGTGTCTAACGTCAAGGGAGTACGCACGGTCCGGACTCAGTCGTCTCTGAAAGCCAGTTTTGCCTGATAATTCGTGTCAACACTCACTGACATCAAAATGATTCGCGCAAATGTGTGAACACAGGAATAGCATCTTGATCAGGTTTCTAAAGCCGCAAAGCTACACGGTGATAAACAATGGTGAGCAGATATTGTCGAATTGAAATAGAGGAGTGTGACGCGTTGCCTAATAGCGAAGACGGCTGACAAAACATACCGAAGTAATGCAAATAAGAGAAACGGGAGCGTTCCACCAGTCTGTCGCGCGAAAATGCAAATTCAAACCATAGACGAGGGAAGAAAAACCCTTTACGTAAAAGTAGGATTTCCCAATTTCTGCAATAAACATTTGTTGCATGTTATGGAATTTCCACCTTTAAAATGCTTCAGTACGCATTTAAATAAATATAAATAAATACAGATAAATATTAATTATGCAAATAAATAAAGAACACAAATTCTGTGCGTGAACGCTGTTGTGTACATTCTAAATAATTGTTAAATTTGTCCACCAAGGAAAAGACCATCCTTATATCTATTTGTAATACAGACTGGTGGAACTGCCGAAAGAACCGTGCATTCCATTGTCTCCAAGCAGACACTACACTGCTACGACAGGAACAATGCAAAAAGGTTGCAAACCAAAGATGTACACAATATCCAACTAACCCGAGTGAACAAACTTTTCGTGGGCCCGGAGCTTAACCAACAGAGAAAAGGTTTTCTCACAGTATTTGCATACGTGAGGTCGCTCATCTGGAACGAAAAGGAGGAATTTGATAGTGAAATACAGCGCAACAGAAAAATAATGTAGAGGAAACGTGATTTGATGCCGTAAGTACAATCAGGAAGACTTTCAGAGGTTGACCAAACGAAGATTAATATGACTAAAAGGCTAGAATAATCATTACACATAAGTAGACACGTTAACTGCAGGTGTTAAACACCTTAGCCATTATGCCGCGATACAAAAGAAAAACATGGAACATCGGCATGCCGTCAACTGAACCAGCTCCTTCGCCACAGAAGAAGCAAGGATATTGTAGTCCTGGCAGGGAGTCTGAAAGCTCAACTTGGAAAATTACTCACTGATGACGATGTAGGCTCCTGTATTGATAACGGTGAGCGGTTACTTCACTTGTGTGAAGATGCCCACCTATTTCGTGTGAGTACTAACCTCCGACACAGCACTAGCCGGAGGGTGACTTGGCGCCCACTAGCCTTGGACACAAATCGATCAAAATGCGATCAGTTACTACCGGAGAGGCCACGTAAAGAACTATCGCTCAATTTGGAGCATAGGAGTGGACAAAGAGCATGCACTTGTATGTGCAGATCTGCGGATGCGTTTTGGCGGGCGTTCACGACCACGCAGTGACATCATACAACAGGCGCAGCCAGCTGTTTTGAATCCGTATCGAAGTAGGCTGAGATGCGGGTTGAGTAAGCGGGCACTGGGTACAATAGAAGGTCAATGGTCCCATGTTCATCACTCTCGACCTGAAGAGTGTACAATGCAGCGGTAGGTTCAATCCTACTGTACGGTTGTGAAAGCTGGCCCCTTAGACTAGACGATATATAAAGAGGCTAGTTACGTTCGACCACCGGTGAATTCACAGTCTGGCCCACATCTGATGGGAACACCGTGTGCGCAATGACCGAGTTCGACGCCTTGTTTAGGACATATGAAGAAGAAGAAGTGAACCGCTCAGCATCGTTATTTCATGCACCAAACCCCGATGACTAAGCTACGTGTTGCAGGCGCCAGCTCACAGACTCCAGAGACGTGTTGTTTGCGCGCCGAGGATGTGGATGGAAGAAGAGGAGAGGTGGCCAAACGATGACTTGGTCGAGAGAAATGAAGGCCCGCACTTCGAACTGACCTCTTGGGAGCGTTTCGCCCCCCTGGTTGGGATCCGAAAGAAGATGAACATTTCTGGCTGGATACACTTGCTTAGCATGGCTAGGGGCCAACAACAGTGGCATGCGTGTTGTGAGTTACTTTGGCCCTCCCCATCCCTCAGCTTCCCCATCAACGCACGCTCATTTCGTAGAATAATATAATTTTGCTGCATAGTAGCCGGCTGGTAGCTTTTCGGAACGATGCACATCCGTTACTGATAGCTCAGCTGGCACGCGTCTGTCGCATATTTTCTTTTATGTATTGTGGCACAGTAGCTGAGGAGTTTTCCACCTCTAGCTAACGTGTATAATGAATGAATGATGTTGGCAGTCACCAATAACGGAGAGCTAACAGCAGTCTATTGTGCCGCAAAAATATATTATGTCCAATGGGTGAAATCGTGGTTTGAGGGGTAAACTAAGCAGGAGGAGAAGGGTCGGCTGCTTGCCATGTCAACAAGTGTACTCAGCCAAACGTGTTCATCGTCCTTCAGTCCACAACCAGAGAGCTGAGAGGCTCTAAGCGAGACCAACGGCGAAATAAGGGCCTTCATTCCTCTTGATCAAATCATCGACTGACCACCTATCCTCTTCCTACATCCACAACCCCGAAGCGCAAAAAACGCGAGTACCCAAAGTGCATAACAAAGGTATCGTCTGAAATAGTCTACCAGACTTCTAACATATAATTCGGGAATCAAAATAAGTTGGATTTAGCATTTTGATACATTGAGATACGATAATCCATTAGCCAAACTCATTGCGAACTTAACACTAAAATACTTATTCACATGGGTAGGTCAATTTCAGCTCACTAAGCAGCAGTTACCTTAGGACGACACACTGCCGAGTGCGCACAGAGGACAATGGAGTCACGGTGAAAATTAGGTAACGTTTCTCTGGGGATTAATTTGAGTTAATGAATCAGATTTGAAAGTGACGGATGTAAAATGTGCTAAACATCTGAGGTAGTTGATAAATACTAGCAAGTTCAACGCCCGTCAGTTAAACATGGTGCGGCATACATCGCGTCGCTACACTTGACAGCTTAATACTTGCTTAAATCGGCTGCGATGAACGGATGAGCTGTCACAGGTGAGGGCAACCTCGGCAACATACTGCAAGACAACGGGAAGACAAGCACTGCGAGATGGCACCAATTTGTGTTATCTGATCACTTACAAACTAACCACCCACACAGATCACGTGAGAGGAGTAAAACGATCGTTCTGAATAGGCTCAGTAAAGGAAAGCCCAACGAAGAAAGGCAAACGATATCGGGACTTTGATAGTCATGAAACCCAAGGAAGCATCAGGATTACTTCCAGGTGGTTTCGTAAAAAAGTAAGACACTGACGATTAACTGTCACGGCCCCGGCAAACGTAAGCATCTCGGCATTTTTGTTTCGGCAGACAAGTGTAAACGTTGAGTCATGGTGAAACTGAAGACCCGTACCTATTAGGTATCTAGCGATGGATGAGACTGACAGCTTACTTGCCGCTTCTTGTCCTGTTGCCCGTTGCGCAGTCAACTTAACAAACTGCTAAGGAATATGATCTCCCATCCGTTTACATAGACAGGGCTCTGTTCTGCTAATGTAACTAGTTCCACAAGAAGATACGAAACAGTATATGCAACGGGGTATGGCGCAGAACGGTTGAGCGGGTCTGACCAGAAGCATCGGCAGTTTGCTGGTCGTCCAAACAGAACGGAATTTAGAAGCGCTGAATATACGACGAATAGCTGTGTTCAAAGATCGTTAAAGTCGCGTCATTCCGATATTACGCTTGAAGAATACAATGAACAATGATGTATGCAGGGAAAAATCAGTTTCTTGACAAGTCCCGCAGGATGGTGGGGGTAAAATTATAATTATCAAAAAAATAGGTGAGTTGTCTGAGCATTTATCGAGCAGATATGCTGCTGACTAATAGTAGTGTAAGTGGGAACTGAATGTGAACGACGATGGAAAATGGGGACATTTTTAATAGTTATACACAGTGAGCAAAGTAAAAACGAGAATACTCACTTCTGTACCGTCTCTTTAGGTATATGTAACTGGTTAATCCGGATTGAAGGGGTAATTAATACATTCCAAAGTTGCACAGCTTAGAGAACGAAGTGATGGGGGTCAAGGGTAAAGTGCAATCGTTTTTTGAAAAGATCCAACGTGAGGGAGGAAATAAAGAAGTTTGGCAGA